CCTTATAAGTCCCGGCTCTCGGGGCAGCCGGCGGCCTCGCTGCATTCCGGTGGCCTCATGTCAAGTGGCCCTGGCTGCATGGTGGTGGCCAGGGCTGGGGCTCTGTATTTCCCCCCCGCTGCTACAACTCTGCTGGTGCGGGTGCCTGAGAGGCGCCCCATTGGGATGCTCTCCCATGGGAAGAGGTGTAGCCCATGTGCCTGAGCTGCTGGGACCTCAAGGGTGGCTGCCTGGAGCGGGGGACTGCCTTTGGGGTGCCGCGGCAGAGCGTGTCCCTGTCCCCAGCAGGATGGTGCAGGGCTCCCTTCAGCTGGTGGCACAGGGAGAAGGCTCGGTGGACTTATCGGTACGAACAAGCAGGAGATGGCCTGTCTCCAGGAAAAAGTGGCATGTAGCTGGTGGTGGGGACACCTCCTGGAGAGGGGGGATGTCCAGTGATGTGGTGTAGGTGAGGCGCTCAAGGATGTTCCTGCTGTAGCTGTCTTCAGGTATCTCCTAACCACTGGTGGTAAAGGCTTGTGTGCTCCAGGTGCTGGGAGTGTGGCCCCAGGACCTGGCTGATCTATGGGGGGCTGGAGTGGCCACAGCTGTGTGAAAGCAGGGGGTGGGTAATGCAGCTCTTCTGGGAGGATTTGGAGCGGTCTCTTGACAAAAGCCCTGCACTGGAGACCTACCAGAGCAGCCTTGTTGGAGGTGGGTACTTATGTCAGAAGAAATGTTGGATGCAAAGGCACAACTTGACCCTTGCTGGGCTGCAGGGCAGTGTCTGGCTCCACTTAGGACTCCTTTTCAAGAGCTCTTACTGAAAAGCTAACGTGGCCAGGAGATGTGGATGGTGTAAGACCCGTCTATGCCGACCTCCTGGCAGTGCTGGAGCTGTGGTAGGAAGAGGCAGGTGATGCTGCTTGGTGTCTTTAAAGCCTTGGTGCTAAGTACCCGGTGGTGCTTGCAGTAGGTGTGTCTCTTCTGGGAGACGCGGCAGTGTAAGAACTGCTTTAGAGCCTCCCAGGACTTGAGCACTAAATGGGTTTGTCCTTGTCCCTCCCTCCCTCCTGCGTGGGAAGCTATGCTGGGATCCTCCCTCCCTAAGAGATGGCCTAGATGGTCTTGTCCCTCCTGGCACAAAGCCTGTTTTCCATGGCTCTCCGCCATCTCTGCCGGGTGTTTGGACTAGGGACATCCCCAGAGGGGGCAGAGATGGGGAAGGGAAAGCGTTTTCTGCAAGGCCTCCAGCAGCGTGACCTCGCCGGGCTGTCCGAGGCAAGAGCTGCTCCCTGCCCAACTGCCCCGCTTCCCTCCCTGCCTGCGCATCTTGTTAAGATCAGTCCGTCCTGGGTGAGATGGGGTTGCTCTCACCTGGTATCTCATCTCCATGGCTGGTAGCAGAGTCTCAGAGCGAACACAAGAACAAGGTATTCCTGGAGATCTGCTGCTGCTCTGTCTGCTCCAGGCTCCTGCTGAGCATGCAGTGCGGCCCAGGCAGTTCCTGATCTAGCCCTGGATGGAGATACATATATATATAAAATATATATATATATTTTTTTTGTCCTGTGGCTTTTCCAGCTGCTCTGTGGGGGAGGCTGAGTATCTTCATGGAGCTGGTGTTTGGTGGCAGGGAGTTGAAGCAGGGCAAATATATTTAAGCAGAAGCCTACACTGCCTTGGCAAGTCGAGTGGAAGGGCTGGAAGCCTGGATTCATCAGCCCTGGGTGGTCCTAGTGGCCTCTCAAAGCCTGCAGGACTTAGGCTGCAAAGGGGTGACTGGAGAGTCCCAGTTTGCATAATCCACTGGAAGATGCTTGTCCAGACCCTGTTGCCCTCATCTATAGTTCCCTCTTTTTGGGAGTAGGGGGAGGAGGAGGCTGGACCAGGGCTGCCCACAGTGCACAAGATGCTCAGACTGACGAGTTGCCTCCTGCTTTTCTCCCGTGGGATAACCCAGATTCCCTTTGCTTTCTGATTTGCTGCTGATCCCACGTTTACACCTGGTCTCGGAAGCGGTCTCCCTCTGTCCCTCAACTGTGTCGCTCAGGTCTCTCACCAGCCTCACCCTCCCTTCCCTGAACAACTTGGTTTCACTTTGCCCGTGCCCTTTTCTACGTCATTTATGGATGTGCTGAACTGCAGAGATCTCGGAGAACCAACCACTCGGTCTCATCGCTTCTAACAAGCTCTTCTGAGCAGGGACCTTCTGTAGTCAGTCTTGAGACCCTTGGAGAAACCTTGTTTGAAGATGTTTGCTGGTGGCATTTGGGATCGCCCTAGTGATGCTGGCCCTTGGCGGGTGCTGTGGGTGAGCTGGGGGTCCCCTTTCCAGTGCTGTGTATGGGGACAGACTGGACCTGGAGGCTGAGGGAAGATTTTTTTGGCCTGTGAGAGAATGTCTCTTGCTCCCATCCTTGGCAGCAACTTATGGAGCTGACATTAGGAGCTTATTACCTCCGACAAAGAGCTTTCGTAGGTGCCTGTGTTGCTCTGTTCAGGCTGTCAAAGGGCTCTGAGTAGCTGACTTCCCCTTCCCTGAGCATCCCTGCATCTTCCATTCCGTCACGCCTGTCGCAAGGACTTACTGAGCAACACATCACGGGACCATTTAGAGACCCAACAGGGATGCAGATTTCTATCTGCTTGGAAGAAACATCCATTCTGGGGTCTGAGCACACTTAGATCCTGAAATATTGAAAAGGGATGGTGCTTTCACATGGCTGAGGCACATGTGTGCCACCACAGTCTGCACAGTCCTCCCCTGCAAGAGATGGCTGTGCATCTTCTGGGAATGCATGGCAGGCACTCCATGTAGCTCTGTGCTGCAGCGCAAGCACCAAAGTCTTCAAGGCAGCCGGCAAGCTGAGAGATGGTGCCATTGCCCGCTCTGTCTGGGCATGAGGTGGCTCTGGAGTGATGCACTGAAACATCAGATAGGGGCTGGGCTGGGTGGGGAGGCTGTAGGACTGAGCCTGGGCATGGAAAGTGTTTCTGGAGTGCTCCATGTAGCATGCAGCTTCCCTAGACAGGGCAAAGCAAAAGCTGGGGAGATGTGGTGGGGCCATCCATACTTGAGGGATCAGGGGAGGGGATGGGTGAGATGCCAGTGTTGGAAGGAAGGATGCTCAGTGGTTGTATTCTGCGGCAGTCTTGAGAGATGCCAGGCTGGAGGACGGCTCTGTGCACTAATGGGGGGGTGGTAGCAGTATGCTGGGGTGTTCACCGGGTGGTGGCAGCCCTTAGTCTCAACATGCATGGAGCACAAGAGGGGCAGAGCACCAAGACTTTCACGATTGCTGTCCATCCTGGATGGGTTAAGCTGCTGCTATGAAGGGTATTTCTCTGCCCTGTCTTGGGCTCAGGAGCTCAAGGAGGTGTGTGTCTTCTCCTGTAAACAGGAGAAGCTTCCCTGCTTGGAGAACTCTGAATCTGGCTGCCCCCAAAGAGTTGCAGGGTGTGGAGGCTCTGCTTCATGCTCCTGTGCCTTCACGTGGCCGTTCTCTCCAGCCCAGGAGCAGGGCAAGTGTGTGCCACTCTCTTTGGTGGCAAAAGAGGCTTAAGGAGGTGTCAGACAGAACCCACCTAGTGTGGGGCAGGGGAAATGGCTGAGCAGAAACCAAAATGTGGGAGCAGAGTGCTTCTGCCCTGCAAATGTAATGGGGTCACCCCTGACTGGAAGCAGGCCAGGAGGTGGGCTCTTGGCTTAGGGCTCCCCGTCCTGCTGCATGTTTTGCAGCTCAGAAGCGTCTGGCGCCGTTTGGTGCTATTCTGAGCATTTGGGCATCAGTGCCATCCCATGACCTTCTCATGGCTTGTTTGGGACTGGCTCGCTGGGTGGCATCCCCGTGCAATGAAAAGTGAGGAACGCAGAGCTCCATCTCATTCCCCATTGTCTTCTGTCTTCCCTCAACTATCCGTCAGTGCTGGCCCAGCTGTGCTTGTGGTCTCCTGGTCCTTGTTAATGATTAGTGTCTTGGTGACCTCTGTTGTGCACAACTTCCCTTTCCAGCTCTGTGCTGATTTACAAGAAGGCTTGGCATCTTCATCGTGCTGCTTCCTATGGAAACGGGCTGCTGGCTGACGTGAGGGAGAAGGTGGCCACAATGGTCTGACTGTTGAGCAGAGTTGTCCCAGGCCATGAGCCTTCAGCACTGTTTCTTCTTCCTGGCTATTTGCGTGAACTATTCTAGATAATTTCAGCAGATTATCTATTGAAGTCATCCTCTGGTACTCTGTTTGCTTATACGTGATGAGTGAGTTTAGACTTGGTATGTGACTTCTGCGGCTTGGAAAGAGCAGCAGCCTACGTGGACTTGGTGCAGCACAGCTGGCTTTTGGCTGGGCACAGGAGAACAAGCACTGTAAGAGCTGGTTTGGGGGCAGCTTCTGAAGGGTCTGGTGTGTGGTGGTGAAGGAGCTGGGACGGACCCAAAAATCCTCCTGCAAAAGCCCCAGAACATCATTGGGAGAAGTCAAAAGCTGAGAGTATAGCAGTGAGGTATTTTTGAAAGTTGAGGGCTGTCTTTGAGTCAGGGGCTGAAGTAAAGAGCCAGGACAGGCTAAGGAAAAGAGATCTGGTGTGTGAGCTCTGGAAATAGCTAGAGAGACAGCTGGGGTTTGTGCTGGTCTCTTCTGGACCTTTGATATGTATCAAACTGTGTTAGTGCTTTTGGCAGTGTGTGGTCTATGGTGTATGGTCTTCTAGCAGTCTTCTCAAGTTTTAGTCACCAAAGTCAGACTGTGGGGCTGGTGTCCATGCCATAATCCACTCAGACTATTCTGCTCGAGACTGGATTTTTGTAAATGTCTAAATCCTTTGTGGCAGGGAGGAAAGGACCGGGTGTATTTTACCCTGGACCGTGCTCCTCTAATGTAGGGAAGGGTTAGTGCCTGCAAGGCCACCTTTGGTGCGAGGTGTTCTGCTCTCATTGCTCCTAGCTTCTGACCTGTGCTCTGTACTCCTGCTTTGGTACTAAGCATCTCCTTTCAGTAGACCTTGATGACCTCTCTCCTAGGTACGGACGCTGTTTGTCAGTGGCCTTCCTGTGGATATCAAGCCCAGAGAGCTCTACCTACTCTTCCGACCATTCAAGGTAAGAAGGTCTTCAGACTTGGTCTTTGGTGGGGAAGATGCTGTCTTGTAGCCACCCTTGCAGCAAAGATCTAGCTCAGAAGGAAGCAAGGATGAAGTGGGAAGGCAGGCATTCTGTAAAAGCTTGAGGAACCTGGTATGAAACCAGAATGGTATCCCATGGCTTGTGCTCAGATAGGTAACCCCTGGGGCCTGTTGAAATCATGCTGTCTCGAAGCTTGGATGAAGGCTGCTAGGTCAGCCCTGCAGCCCAGCTGGACCAGCCCTTCCTCAAGGATGTGTCCTGATCCCCTAACTGTCCATCCTTTACTAGATCACCACATGGGCTCTCCTTGGGCAAACGAGGGAACCCCACTTCCCCCTCTTCCAGCATGGGGTGCTCTAGGCTCTCCAGGCACTAGCCAGGCAGGGTGCTCATCTCAGTAGCTTGATGAAGAGCTAAAAAATGGGATTTCTTCCCAAAGGGCTAGCTGAGATACCTGTTCTGCCCTTAGACTAATCTCAGTCTTCTCTTTTGGTGGGAAAGAAGAGATATGTCAATGTACTGACTGCTGCAAACCCCGCCTTGTGAAGGGTTTGGTGCTGCAGTAACTTCTGGAGCTGTCACGCCATGTCTTGGTTGTAGCTCAGCTCCTTTGGGAACCTGATGTTGACTTGCTTTCTTCCCTTCTCCAGGGTTATGAAGGGTCGCTGATCAAGCTAACTTCCAAGCAGGTACCTCCTTCTTCCAGTGCTTGCGTATTTTTGGCTTTTGCTAGAAAACCAGACCTGCCGGGAGGGAAGAGGAGGGGAGGGGGGACAGACAGCATTTCACTGCGTAAAGCATCATCTATTCAGCACCATGTATATAGCTGGGTTCTGCTCACACCCATCACCATGGTGGTCTCAAGCTCTAGGCATGTGCCAAATGGCTCCGTATCTTCTACTGCTGCCCACACCATGTCGGCTGGGGGAGAGCCGGTGCTTCAGCCTCAAACCCTGTGCTGCTAGAAACCTTCCCCAGACCCAGTCTAATCAAGGCAGTGGTTCCCCTTGTGAGCAAGGGGTACCCTTGCTGGGGGCTACCAGGGTGACCCGTGACCCCACGTGTAGGAATACCAAAGCTTTTTGGTTTGGTGGGAGCAGATGTGGAGCAGGAATCTTGAGATGATGACTTCAAGCTCTGCTTAAAGGCCCTCTGCAGCTTTAGATGGTCTCTTCTGCTTGCTGTCAGCTGTCTGGGGCAGAGAGGGTGGCAGGGCAGTCCGAGGAGCTGGGAGAGGCTTCCAAACTGAAATCAGCATTATTTATTTTAGCCAGTTGGTTTTGTGACCTTCGACAGCCGGGCTGGTGCTGAAGCAGCGAAGAACGCCTTGAACGTGAGTACCCGATGGGCCAGGAGGTTCCAGGGAAGGCTGGGGGCCATGAGGGTGTGGAGAAAGATCAGCTACTTCTTTTCTGGAGCTGGCATGCACAGGATCCAGACTGTGACTCCTGCTTCTTATCCATTAAGTGCTCCCCCTGTAGGAGTAAGAGTTGGGGACTAAGAGGACTCCCTTGTTCATTACCCATGTGTGTCGAGGTGTGGCCAGAACTACCTTCAAGGAGCTTTTCCTCCTGCTGTCTGGGCTGAGTGCCGAGGTGGGGGCTCATCCTAGCCTGACCGCTTGACTCGACCTTGGCTTGGAGTACCTGGAGCAGGCGTGTTTTCTCTGGGGAGCCAACCCGTAGGAAATAGATGAGAAGAGAGGTATTGGGGGCATGAGTGGTTCCCAGGTGTATACAGACATGGGGCGATACCCAGTTGATGCCCTGTAATGCTTTAATGAAGCATGTGGAGCTCAACTTGTATTTAGCATTAGCTTTTTGAGGCTCGAGGTCAAGCTCCACCAGGGTTTGTGGGTGGCGAAGCAGGCTCATTGCAAACCTGGTCTATTGTGTGGCTGCAGGTGTTGCTTGGTGCTAGTGACTTTGTTAAAGCCTTACTTTACTAAATGCCCCGATGAAAAGTGTGCGGCAGTTCAGCAGAGCAGGTCCTTGTCCTGGGAGGTAGGAGGTAGAAGGTACTTCCTTCAGAAAGGAAGGGAACCAGCCTTCCCACAGTGCTGTTTCCATGGAAGGATATGAGGCAGGGCAGAAGCTGTCTGGTACAGGCTCTTGAGCATATTCATGGCACTTCCAACCTGCTGCAGCTCTAGAAAAAGGCATGAGAATGGTCAACATGGCAGGCGCAGCCCAAAACTATCTCCATCCCATGTGGTCCTGCAAAAGTTAGTGGGATCTAGGCAGCAAGACATGCTGATCTGGTTCTGCCCTGCTGCAGACACTTGGGCACTGGTGCAAGTACTATTTTCCCTGCCCAGGCTGGCAGCACAGGTAGGAGCTCCAGTAGAGACGGGATTATCCCAGCTCCAGCAGACAACTTTTTCCTGACCGGTGTTGGTAGCCATCACTGCCATGCTGGTTGGTGAACTGCACATAAGGAGCCAAGCTGCGTCCCTCGCGTTGTAAGCAGTGGTCCAAGGCCAGCTAAACATAGGAATACATGGAAGCTTGAGTGTTGCAGTGAAGTGACAAAAAAACCCCTGGGCTATGTGACTGCAGCGTGATGGCCTTGGTTCCCTGGTTGGGCTTTGCTCCAGGAATAGCCACAGCCTGTGCTTAGACTGGAAACCTCACCTCTGAGAGATTCCTGTGCTTTCTTCTGTGACAGGGCATCCGCTTTGACCCAGAGAACCCCCAGACCTTGCGGTTAGAGTTTGCTAAAGCCAACACAAAGATGGCCAAGAGCAAGCTGATGGCCACGCCAAACCCCACCAATATTCACCCTGCCTTGGGCGCACACTTCATTGCACGGGACCCCTGTGAGTATGCTGGGGAGGGACTTTGAGGTCATGGCTGGCCCAACCTGGGAGATGCCCAACCCTGGGAAGGCTGCCGGGGTGGAAAGGAAACCATACCCACATATGCCCTGGCTGAAATCTGCCTGGTGCGGGAAGGCCAGCATGTTAGGGTCGCAGGAGAAAAACACATGTCTGGTAAGACTTCTGGCTGACGCTAGAAGTGTTGGGAGAGCACAGTTGGTTTTGGTCACTTGAGTGATACCATAACTCCTTTAAACCACCTGTAGGTATGAAGCAGAAAGGACAAGTCCTGTGCCATGCACCCTCAGCATAGCCTGGTGGGGCGAGCAGCCCTGCTGAGGCTTCTCGGGCAGCCTGTGACGTGGTGCTGAGAGCCCCGTCTTCTGTCCTGCCATCCCGTGGCACCAGCCCTGTGCCATGTGTGTGAACCAGCCTGCCCAAAGCCCCCGTGGGGCGATGAAAAGTGATGGAGCACGTTCCTGGCCTCTCCTGGCAATGCCTGGGAGGCCAGAGGAGCCGCTGGTAGCAGAGATGTTGCAGTGGTGCTATATTTAAACCTTGCTGGCAGTGCGGAGCCTTAGTTTGGGGTGGGAAATCCAGAGCCTGTCCCTGAAGCAGGCTGTTGGGGCCAGCTACTGAGATGCTTGTCACCTTGTCTCCTCCTGCCTAGATGACCTGACTGGAGCAGCTCTTATTCCAGCGTCGCCAGAAGCATGGGCTCCCTACCCACTCTACACCACGGAGCTCACCCCTGCCATCCCCCATGCCGCCTTCACCTCCCCGGCGGCCGCTGCTGGGCCGCTGCT